CCAAAACATACTTTTCATGGTATCGAAGAATATTCTCTACAAAAGTGTTGTAGACGTGAGCGCCGGGTCTCTGGTGTGGACTCAACTCTCTTCGGATCCAATCCTCGCCAATACTATGGGAGGCTTTATGTCTGAAAGTCATCTCATGTTTAATATCATTGATGCCACGGATCAAGTGCTCATCGGTTACGACCAAAATGGCAAACAATTAGATAAGGTTTGGACAAAACATTCAAAACTTTTATCTCATATTAATTAGTAATTAATAATTACTATTGCTTTGCATTCAATACTTGAATAGACTTCGGTTTTAAAGTACTTCGGATGTCGTGACGACACTTCAAATGTAGCCAATAATGGGGCGAATCATAGATCCGATGACTCGCTAGATATGGATGTCTTGAGATCTAATGAAGAACTCGACAAAAACAATAATAAGACGGCTTTAATCATAATTATAGCAATTATTGTGACCGCAGTTATTGTTAACATATTTTCGGCCATCTTTTGGTTCACTGTCTTTAGGAATAAGTGGTCTTCGGATCAAAGTCTTGACTCTTAAACATTTGTTCATTAATTTAGACCCAAATATAATGAAATTTATTTATCAATTAATTCACATTCACTCCAAGTGTTCATTAAATCTCAATAAAAATTAATAAAATATAACTTATAACTAAAACTTTATAAATGATAATTAAGTTTCAAATTGTTATTATCGTTAAAATGTTTCAATTGTTTGAACGCTTTTTTCCTCATTTTAGCGAAACGTTTGGCTTTAAAGACACAAAACGCAAAACTCCACGAAATGGTGAACAAAAGCACTGATAATACACTGAAAATCACTACAAAGACAATATCGGCAACACTTTTATCCCCAATGAATATAATGGTTATTAAAGCGCAGAATATAATGAGTGTAACGGATATGGAGTACGAGATGGAGATCTTGAGGTGATCTTTGAGTGAACCGAACCAAAAGGCATTCAATACACCAAACATTGCGCTGCAGATGAA